TTGTCAATTTAAATGGCTCTGCTCGTTTCATCATCCGTTTTGCCCAAATAATGGCTAAATGATAAGTAACCGACTTTTTAGGGTTTAGTGCTCGTAAAACTTCTGACATCATGCCATAATTAGATTACGCCGCCTTGAAAACCATTTAAGTGTAACACCCTAAAATTTGAATTTCTGGAAATAGAGCTAAAATGATTTAATTTGGAATTTTGTGCTCATGAAAACATAGAAAAATAAAAATTTTCATTAATTTAAAATTCATCATAAGGTTTAACAACATGTTTGTACATACATATCCTTGCATTTGATTTATTTGGTTGAGTGGTTTAAATTAAAATTTAAAATGATTTGAATTGTTTTTGCAAATGAAATTAAAAAAATGGCTTTGAAGAAAAAGAAAAGAAAGAAAAAGAGAATTTGAAAATAAAAGAATTTAAAAAAGTGTAAGATTTATTTTTGGAAAACTTACAAAAAAACAATTTTCCATTTTGTTTGAATTGAAAAGGGTGTTTGAAACCCTATTCCAATTTGATTTGATTCATATTTGAATTCGGTTTGAAAATAAAAAGGAATTTCTTTTATTTCTCCCTCCTTCTTGGTTTCTGGCCCAGCCGGCCTGTTTCTCTCCCGCGGCCCAATTGCTTCCCTCCCTCCTCGCAGCCCAGCAGCCGTGGCTCATCCCACTCGCGCCTGCTCCCTCCGCGGCCCAGCAAGCCATCTCCCGCGTCTCGCCGCTCCACACGGCCTGGTCCGCCCGGCTCAGGTCACGCCACACGCGCGTCTTGCCTCGATCCCGCTGACGCACCGGGCCCACATGTCGGGTCTCCTTCTTCCCCGCGCCGTACTTGGGATGGACACCGTCGCCGTCGCCTGGGAGTCCCACGCCGCCCCGCCCCGTGCCGTTGCCTTGCGCCACAAGTTCCTCCAACCTCTTAAATAGCGAGCCCGTGCCCACCGCCTCCCTATCCCACTCCAACCGCATCGCCCGAGCGCTCGCAGCCGCGCCGCCACCTAGCGCCACCGTCCGCCGTCGACCCGCCAAGCCGCACGCCGTCTTTGAGCTATCTCCGTCGCCGAGGTGACCCTAGGTGAGCTTGCCTCAACCTCCTCTTCCACCCCGTGCCTTTCTCGTTGAAAACCGTGCACCGTAGGCCGTTTTTGAGTTTCGCCGCCAAGCTCCCTTTGCCGGCCATGGCACCGCCGCCGTCTATGTCACCGCCGGCGACGTCATCTTCTCGATCCAATTTCAACGGGACTTTGGCATTTCACCCATCATCAGAAACAGGTTTTGCAGTTTTACCATCCCTCAAAGTGGTTTCGCTAGTTTGCCATTATGAAACTGGTGTCACCCGCTGAAATACATTTTGGGTAGTTTTTATTCGTGGAAAGAAAAAAGAAGACGCCTCCTTCCATTCCTACCCCTGCCGGCTGTTATGTTCATCAAAATGGATCGGCTCTCTCTCCTGTTACTCCCTTTCCTCCATCCCCACGGCAGCTTTGGCGACCACCGGTCGCCCCCGCCGCAGCCGTCCGCGTCGGTGCCAGAAGCTTCCTCGACTTGGGCGTCGGGGCCGGGCGAGGTAGACGACGGGAGCGGGCGCTTCTGCGTGGGCATTCCGGCCGCTGGCTCGGCTCAACGCGCGGCGTTCCTGTCGGGAGGGAACGAGGAGGAGGACGTCCCCGTGCGCCAGCTCCCGTTCGGTCGGGTGACGGCAGAGGCCACCGGTCGGAGGTGTCCAGTCCACCCGCCAGCCCTGGCGGCGGGAGCCAGAGCCCAGCACTGAGCGCATCAGCACCGTGCGTGCATGCACCGAGCTGTGCTCGCTCCTGGGCTCCTGGCCATGCGTGGCCTTCTTGGTTCCTGTGCTTGCGTTCGTTCAACAGCAGGTTGGAGAGCAGCCCCTCCGTTGCTGTGCGTGTGATTTCCTTGCCGGTCTTTGAGTGATTTGATTTTGTTTGGTCAAAAGCTTGGTTCTTGTGTCCGTGAATTAGTACAAATATTTGGAGTATTAAATTACTTCTTTCACTTGATACGGTATTCACAACCGCCGGAGCTGCCAGTCATAGTTGAATCGGCTCTCTTGTTCATCGTGGTTCTGCTGCCTACTAGAATAGTTGGCTATTTTTCTTGCTCCTGAATCGTGTACGTCTACGGCGAACTCTTTCCTGTGCCCGGTTTGTCCCGCTAGCCTGACCTCCAGGATGGCAATGGTCTTGGTGTCTTGGCATGCGTAGGCGACCGTGTGAGCCTCAGGAGGGGGCGGCGTGGTGGTAGGCATGTGCCGGCTGATGCCGCTGGGGAGGGATGAGAGGGTCAATCCATTTTGACGTTCGATCCATTTTGACAAACATAACATCAGGCAGGGGTAGGAATGGAAGGAGGCGTCTTCTTCTTTTTCCATGAATTAAAACTATCCAAAATGTATTTCAGCGGGTGACGCCAGTTTTATAATGGCAAACTAGCGAAACCACTTTGAGAGATGGTAAAACTGCGAACCCGTTTCTGATGATGGGTGAAATGCCAAAGTCCAAATTTCAACCATCCGATCTGAGATCTGTGGTCCCGATTAAAAGATACCTTTTCGTTGGCACTTTTATTAAAGAGCCCCTCGGTTTATTCAAAATAGAACCCGTCGTCCTTTGCGTATTCCACAACTTTTGTTTTCTTCTTTTAAAAGCGTATTTTATTCGGTTGACTTCAAAAATACGTTTTCACTTATTTACAGATTTGCCACTGATTTTGTTTTAGCCATAACTTCTTCGTTTTAACTCCGATTTGATCCGTTCAACTTGCGTTAGGTTCGTAATTTCATAATCTACATGTTCATACTACTGTTAGATATGTTTTCAACTTTTAAAATTCATGACTAGATTTAATCTATTATTTTAATAAATGAAATCTTGTTTAATTCATATTTGCTGCGTTTTAGCTCCATTTTGACCCATTCAAGTTGCGTTAGATTCATAGCAACGAGATCTACGTGTTAGTAACCGTGGTTACCATATTACTATTTTCTGAAATTTCATGGTTTAAATCATATCTTGATTAATAATTATGTAACTGGGTTTTATAAATAAAATATGATTTGTTTTACTTTAGTTTTATAATTCAAATCTAAATTTGACTTAATTCAATTTATATAAGATCTTTATATAGTTAAAATAAATGAAGCTTTTAGTTTTCTTTTCCGCGTATAAAGCAAATCTCTCGGTAGTTGTATCTTTTTAACCGTAGCTTCGATTAGCGTGCTTGTTGCGTCTATGTGTTCGTAGCGATGCGTAGAATCGTGTTTCAAACTCTTTTACTTATTTTTCAATGATCGGTGTACTATTCTGATTTAGTTATATTGTTTGCTTCATGTATGATTGTATGGATACTTGTGTGGTGCTTTATGATTAAGTCCAGTCGGTGAGATATATGTGGTGCTCAAGAAGAAGAAGTAGAACGTTGAAGATTAAAGTTTACCGAATGATCGGTGTTTTAAGGCAAGTATAGCATGGGATCTTCCTTGGTACCTATTCACCTTTAATCAATTAATTCATATTGCATGTGTCTACCTTGTTGCCAATAAGGATGTCCTAGATATTTGATATCTTGTACCTTGATACCTATGGAGAATTGCATTAGGTAGTATGATGCTAGTGCTCAACTAAAGCCATGATCTTGTAACTTGACTAATGGTATATGCAATAAACACTAAAAGATGTTTTTAGCAACATGGAACAAGAGGGCTAGAGCATTTGGCTGTTTTATAGTGCTCTAGATTCTTCTCCCTAAAGACTTATCTGTAAGTGATCATCCGGGACTTACAGTACAACTGTGAGGGTTATATAATTCTAGCTTTAGCTCAGTATGAGGACCGTTTCTAGCCTGTTAGAGGTTACCTTTATGGCGTAAGAGGGGTGTGTTCCGGGTTGGATATAGTGCGGCCTCTATTCGTCAATGTATAGGCTGCACGTCATTGTGCCTGTCGGAAGGGGAGCCATACATTCGCAGGCCATAGAAACCTAGCAGCTATAACTTGTTAGACGAACCTTTGAAAGGCTTCGTAGTGAACCCTACCAATCTTTCTCGGTAGTGGGTCAAGAGGCTCACGACCTCGGACGAAAGGGTAAGTCACGACTCATAGTGAAAGTGTACAACCTCTGCAAAGTCTAAAACTGGTATATTAGCCGTGTTCAAGGTCACGAGCGGCCTTAGAACCCTTACGGAATAGATGATTACTAATGGTTAATGATGATGAACACTAATTATACTGATGATAAAGATGCTCACTAATGAATATTGTTTATACTATTCATTATTCATGTTTACCTGATCACGTGTTTATGGGCTTGTGATGAACTTGTTGCTACTCAACTGCTAAAATCATGACTCATTAAAAGCTAATCGCAGTTAAACTAGTGTTAGCCTTTTGAGCCTCATGAACCCATATTATATTTGTTGAGTACGACATATACTTGCGCTTACTTTACTTTTTAAATATTTGGAAAAATCTCAGATGAGTACCAGATTGCTAGAGTTTGAAGGAATTAAGCTTGTGATCAACCAGACAGTTGTCTCTGTGGAATTGGAGTTTTCACCCGAAGATCGGAGTTGTCTTTCCGCTGTTTGCTATCTAAGGTTATATTCTATATACTAAGTACGTTATATATTGAGCATTGTCTATTGATATTACCCTTATTTGTAGCTATATGTGAGATTTGACTTTCTAGGCTCACATATAATATGTATCTGGTTTTGTTTCTAGAACCGGGTGCTACGGAAGAAAAAGAACAACTAGTTTCAATAGTTATTAAGAGTCAAAACATCGACTTTCCTAGTCTGCGGAGGTAAATTGGACCACAACCATAATCAACGGAGGTTAATATTTTTTCTCGTATATGGATGTTTGACAATTGACATAGGCCTGCTGTTATTAACTGCTGGGCTTATTTTTGTTTGTTGGGCCGTCAGCTATGAATCAAAGGCTCAGAGCTAACCTTCTTAACAGCCCAGTCTACCTCAAGTGGCCCAACACGAAGCCACCTTTGACGGTTCGACCTCTTCCGCACTTCCCCATCCCACCCGCGACGGCCGCCGACGACCGCCCGAGTCCTTCCGCCGTTCCGCGCCGCCTAGGCGTGTCCCGCCACTTGAAGGAGTTCTTCTCCTCCGACTCTGCCTCAGGGCTTCCCTCTCCATCCCCGAGCTTGGATCGCTGCTTCTTTTCCCTGGTAAGCAAGCCGTTGGTTGGATCGATTGCCTTGACAGTGAGCGAGTTCCGTTCTATAGGATCTATTTCGCTATCCCGAGCACCCAAACTGTGATCTTTTTTTTTTCCTGAGCTGTCCATCCATGATCTAGCTTGTTACGGATTTGTGTGCTGCGGCCGTATTAGTGTAGCAGTTTATTTTCAAATTATTTTCGGCGGCTCAACTGACCCCGTCCCCGAGTTAGGTTGGGTATATTCGGCGGCTACAGTTAGATTTTCTTCTTTCAACTGTTGTTAGTTTTTTCAGCGCTTCAATCAACAACAACAACAACAACAACAAAGCCTTTAAGTCCCAAACAAGTTGGGATAGGCTAGAGTTGAAACCCATCAGGCACGTAAATAGCTGTCTTCCAAGCACAATTGTGTAGCAATTTTGCCACCAGCCGAATCTCGTATCTTATGTCCTATGCCTTGTCCAACTAGCATGAAGGGAACTACTGAAGATGAATTATAAGGGTAAATTGTGCTCTTCTTTTTTCGGTGTGATCTTACCATCAGCAAGAGGCAAAGGTTAACGTATTGAATCCCATGTTTCCTTCTTACTGAAACCATTCTGAAAAAAATCAGGGGTCTATACACTTGTTTCTTGCTGTAAGTCTGAAACCATTCTGGGAATTTTGGGGGCCCCTATATTTCTTTCTTACTGAACAACCATGCTGAGAAATCTGCGTGCCCAAATTAACTATTGACATGCCCCACTTGCATCTAGAATCCCGTATTGAGGTGAACATCTTTTTATCCAAATCATCATGTGTTGCATCACAAGTAACGCAGAATGGTGCTAGTAGATGGTAGGCTATTGAATGGCTCTGCTATGCAAGTTCTTTCTCTCTTTGCCAGTTGGTTATAGTATGTTCCTTACTATTTTCATTATCTATTTATGTGCTCACTTAACTTGAAATATGTTATTCTATTTCTGGGATCTGCTGAACTCATTAAATGTTGATGTTAGTGAACTTTCCTTTCCGGTATGTTATTCTTTTTATCATTTCCATGAGAGCAAGGAGCATGAAGTCTGCGTTTGCAATAATTCATTTACCATTATAGTCATAAAAAGGGTGACAGCTTGGATGTGCATCGCTAACTAATACCATATTCCTCCTTAGAGTCTTAAATAAAGCTGTCAACTTACTCAGTGAATAGGCAAGACTATATTTAATTCGCATGGCCAAATATAGCTTACGAGAAATCAGGCAAATCGTGATATTATGAGATGTACGTAAGAAAGATTACTCAGTAGTTCATGAGTTAATTTGCCTTGGAACCTGGTGTCGCACACATTAATTCGGGCAGCATAGCGCACAAAAAAAGCTATAGACCCCCCCCTTCGGGCTCATTTTTGCTTTTGTTTACTGCTTGTTTGATCATATTGATTGCTGGGTAATGTGTATTTAGTCTCACAGAAATGTGTTTCTCTGTGTCGATATGTTTACCTTTGCAATGTAACATTATATCTTCGTTTTTTCTTTATTTAGTTCTCTTCATACTCTTTAATGCTATAGGAGCTCGTTTATTGTGTGTCTCAGATGCTGTGATGAACTCTGGGCTGGTGCCCTGTGGTTAAAAGATGTCTTTTCTCTGTGCAGGTTCTTGTTATTCGTGATTTCATACAACAGTTATCTGCATCGCACGGGAAATGGCAAGCAAAGCAGGTGGTGATGGCAAAGAAGCCATAAACGAGCAAGTAATTGCCAACACTTATGCCAACATGCGTACCGAAATGAACCAGTTCTACACCAAGATCACAGAGCTGGAGATGGAGGTCAGCGAGCACTCCCTTGTGATCGGCGCGATCGAGCCACTGGACCCCTCGAGGCGCTGCTATAGGATGATTGGCGGCGTCCTGGTCGAAAGGACCATCAAGGAGGTCCTGCCTGCTGTGAAGCGCAACAAGGAAGGCCTCGAAGAGGTGATTGCTCGCATGCACGAGGCACTGGAGAGGAAGAAGAAGGAGATCACCGAGTTCGAGCTCAAGTACAAGATCAGGATCCGGAAGGCTGACAATGACGCTGAGGACGAAGGCGGCAAGAAGGAAGGCACTGCGCAGGGAGTCCTTGTTGGTCCTGCCTGACAGTAAAACTTAATTAGAGTGACCTGCATGGTACTACTGCTTTATGGTGCCCAGGCTGCTCTTTGCTAGATGTGTGTGTTTTGGGGCGACATGCTTCTGTAGAACCAGCAATTTTGTGTAAAAGATGAGGACCAATGTGAATGTGAACTGAAATAGTTTGGCAAGTTGAGTCATGGTTTGTTTCTTTATCTGTTCTTCGGGTGCTGTGGCAATCCAAGTATTTCTGTTTGTTGATGACTCATCGCAAATTTCCCAGGATCACAAGTTCTGTCCGGGACTCCTTTTACTATCTTCTCAAGATAATTGTGGATTAGTAATCTGTTTGACTTCGTTTCAACTGATGCTGAAATATTACTGATAATTGAGCTGTTTCAATGGTATACCAGCTTGTTGTTACTTGAGACGGCCCTGTTCGCTTGAACTTATCATCCTGGCTTATCAGCTATGGTATAGTGTTTTTTTCTCGCAACAAATCAACCAACAGTACTTTTCAGCCTGGCTTAGTTTTGCTAGTTGCCTAGCTCCAATATGGTAGGAAACAGCTACAGGTTTCCTGAGCTTTGAGAATTGTTACTTGGGAATATTTCCTAAACAAGACCTAAAAATTGAGAAACGTAACATGATTTGGTGGAATCATCAAAAACTGATTTAAATCTACTCTGTTTTCAAATTTGAAACTGGCCCAAAAATTATTGTAATTTGTTTAGGAGCAGGAGCAATTTCCCCCTGACCTATGATCCGACGGTGGCGATTTAGCGCTCGGCCAACCTCGGCCCCTGCCACAACGGCCTCACTTCACCTGTTCACCAGCTGCCCTTCCCCGCGGCGCCGCCGCAATCCCCACGGGCCCCAAAACCCTACGGTCTCCTAGCCATTCCCCAACGAAACCCCAGACCACGAGATGGCCCCCGGTGGCGAGGGTAAGCCAAACACGGGCGGCGGCAGCGGTGGCGCCAAGGGTGGTGGAAGGAAGCGCAAGTTCCTTCCCCACGGCAAGCCGGTGCGGAAGGGGGCCTACCCGCTGCGCCCCGGCGTGCAGGGCTTCTTCATCACCTGCGACGGCGGCCGCGAGCGCCAGGCCACCCGCGAGGCGCTCTCCCTCCTTGACTCCGTAAGCTGCTCCTCACTAGTCCTCTTCTGTCTTCTCCGTGCGTGTCATTGGCCCGCGTGTAGTGTACTAGTGCGGCCTTTCGTTGCGACGCTCGCTCGCTAGGTGTTCGTTAAATTCCCCGCGCCTGCCTGGTCTGGTTGAGGGCGGTGTGCCGGTGTGAATCACAGCGGACTCGTCGCCAGTTTAGCTGGTGATTTTCCTGCTGATGAGTTCGCGCTGTCGCTTAATCCCATTGCTTGTCATCAGGTGAGTGTGGGCGTAATCGCTGTGCTGTGCTTGGTGTTCCTGTGGCTGCACATATTGCATGTTTTGTTGTGCACCTTTTCGATTAACTGGCCAAAAGCCTAAAATGTGGAAAGCAGCTAATATTGTAGATTGGTACTCTTAACTCCCTGAATTTTAGATTGTGTGTTGGTTGCAATTGGATACCTGGTCGTGGCATTAGTAGGGTTTTATGTGCACAAGTCCACAAAGACGATTATACCTGGTTTATACAACAGTTGTAAGTTGTGCAATGTGATGGAACTGCTGGCCATTATGCCTTGTTATTGCAAGTTTACTTACCATGCTTTCTGTCCAGGGAAATGATGTTATTTTGCTTGTTGCTTTACTTGTATGATCAATCTTGCTAATATGCTTTTGGCTCATTATGATGTGTACTGCGTTCTTGTTTCTGAAGTTCTACGAAGACCTAGTGGATGGGAAAGGATCGGATGAGAAGCCTAAAAACATTCCAGACAAGCCACTGAACAAAAAGATAAAGTTTGAGGACTCTGATTCCTCAGATGATGAGGATGAAGACCACTCTGGCGAGGAAGCTGACAATGGGAATGGGAATGATGTGGAGAAAGGTGAAACCACTCCATCCGAGAAGCAACAGGGGGTGCTTGATGCCTCTGATACTGCGAGCAAGGACAATACCGCTCCATCTGAGAAGCAACAGGAGGTGGTTGATACCACTGATACCACGAGCAAGGATAATGAGGAACAAGCAGTCACTGCTGATGAACCAAGAGAAAAGAAGCAACGTGTCGAAGACCCTCCAGTTTCTGAGCAGACTGTACAAAAAGAGACTGCTGATGAACCAAAGGAGTCCACTAATAAACCAAAAGAGTCCAGTGAAAAAAATATTGACGATTTGATTGACGAAGACCTGAAAGAAATAGGGGACAGGAAAAAGGTATGTTTGCTTTCTGGTGTAGCTATACAGCAAGATATCTGCTACAGTGCTCCTCTCTGTTATGGACTTATGGTATAGTGCATATAATTTATACCAAATAATAAACTGAAGTTTCTAGCATTTTCTGTAGGAAGAAGACAAGAAATACTCCATAGTTGAGGATTGATCAGTGCCATTTATCTTCTCTAAATTTTGTTCTTATTTAGCAGGGGCTTTAGCATAGGAACTTAGGCATGCTCTTAAATTAGTGTAGACTTGTCCACATCCTTTTACTGTTATCATACAAATTTATACTGTAGATCGAACTCCCGTAGTGACCCTTAGAATACTGCAATCATATATTCTCCTGCTTAATAATCTTTTCTGGCACAGATTCGAAATTTTAATTTAGGTTGTACAGGATAAATTTTTTCAGGCATGAACTAACTTTGGAGGTTGATTATTGTTATATATAACTAATCACTTGATAGTTGATACTAGATTTAATCTTGTTGCAACATCGCTGGGTGTTCATGTTAAGTAGTTCAGTACACTTACGCTTAAACAATTTGTTGTGGGATGAAGATCATGTAGGAAATCTTGACTAATGAAGTGGTGAAAATTGGTATTATATGCACCTTTTTAGCAACTGTTTGTTTGAACCCTGAGCTGAGGCATCATCCCAGATCTTATCTGCTTGTGCATTTCATTTGTTCAGTTCTATTGGAAAATTTTCTGGC